TCGTTGCAACTTTACAGATCTTCTTTATGCACCAAGAGCTTGTAACACTCCAAAGAGAAAGGACAAATTGAAATCACATCATATGACCCCTTTAAAGGGACACCGTTTCTCTAAATAATAAAATAGTTTTGGTTGATGCAATATGACAGTGGATGGGTGTGGCCACACTTCGAAGGAGGACTGTGTCATGGTGAAAGGTAGAAAACCGTTTGACGTAAGATTTTTATTTGTAAATTGTTACTCACTAAATGTAGCAAACATTATTGTGACAGTTCCTGCTTTATTCACTACCACCATTTACAAGGAATAAAATGCAAAGAATAACATTTTTAAAGTGCCCCTATTATGCCATTTTTAAGGTTCCTAATATTGTTTTGGGAGTCTCCTACAATAGGATTATATTCATGAAACGCTTTCGTTTTCTCAAAATATGTATTTAATATCACCTAATTTTCCAGCGATTCTCAAACGATTCGTTCAAAGCAGTTCTGAGATTCAGTCTCTCTAAACCCCGCCTTTCCGTGAGCCTGCTCTGCTCTGCTCGGTCAGACGGCCCGGTCTGTTGTGATTGGTCTATGGCAGTGGTCCTCAAATCTGGCTCGCGAGATCCACTTTCCTGCAGAGTTTAGCTCTACCCTAATCAAACACACCTGAGTTTGCTAATCAATGTCTTCAGGATCATTAGAAAATCACAGGTAGGTTTGTTTGATTATAGGGTTGGAGCTAAATTCTGCAGGAAAGTGAATCTCGCGAGCCAGATTTGAGGATCACTGGTCTACGGTGTACAGCGCGTGTCGAAAAAGGATACTCCCATTGCCATAGTTCCGTATTTTGAACACTTGATAGAAAATCTAAACATCTATTATTTATCATACTAGTGATTCAGTGGAGCCAGCTGGTCCAAAACAGGGTACTGAGCCATCTTTCAAGAGCAAGCTTTTAGTGAATCCCGCGTTGAACTCCCCAATATTTTATTTTTTTAACTCCCTGAGATTAGAGAAGCAGTCGTCAGTAGAATGATGAGTTTGTGGGCGGGGTCAAGTTGTTCGCGGCCGGCCAACGTAGAACATAGAGGGGAATTATGCAAATGTGTTACCCCATGACGTGTAGCCGTCACGGAAGTGGGATTCGAATTACTAATGACTTGTTTAGGCTGTTCAGAGTCGATTCTTTATTTTAGGAGACAATAACTATTTATCGTGCACTTTCGGCTTTACAACTTTGCTGACCGTTTACATTAACATACAGCTACATTACATGCTGCATGAAAGGCAATATTGGAAATGGCATAATAGGGGCACTTTAAAAATGTGTTAGTTTTCTTGTAAGGTGATATAAGATATTGCTGGCCCTCTTTGGCTGAATGTTAGATAAAGTGGGCCGACCTTTAACCTTCAGTAATTATACCCAAATTCATTAAATAATATGACATTCACTGGTTATTTTATGGTTGAGATGTATAATCTACTTGTTTAGAAAACAGAAATGAGACTGCAGTCAGGAATTCAAGTCCGAGATGGAAGAAATGAAAGAGTCGAGGCATGAAGTGCAATCTGTGGAGTGAGGAAAGCATGAGAGGAAAAAAATATAGATGCAGAATATAAAGCTTTAAAATATGGTTTCGAGAGCATAGACAGAAAATACATTTTTACATATGGTTACCATTTTAAATGTTTCTCTTATAATTTTTTTTAGCCTATTTCGTTGTTGCTTGTGTTGTAGTCACATCTTTAATATACTGTAGACTTCATTTTTGATCAATATTCTGATATTGAGATTTAATCAAATTTAACGTCGGCACAACAGTTGTTTGGAATTTTACACACGAGTTGAGATGTGGATTCACACATGATTTATTTGACTCAAAACCTGTATATGTATTTTTTGGGCTTGTTAAAGATGTTTGTCTGCCAATATGTGTTAATAAATCATGTGGTTTTAATTCAAATGCAGAATCATTTTTGATGGCCCACTTTACCTGAAAAGAAATTTGTCTGGAGTACATGACCTCAACATATTTGTTGGTATATATTTCGCAAATATCACTTACTGTGAACAGTACTCAAACCGAAATATTACTGCTGGACCTTAAAGTTAACAAAAGTAATAGAGAAAACAAAAACATCTAGGTATCTAAATTACACATTTAACAAAAAGTGGCCCACTTTACCTGAGTTCACCCTACCTCATTCGACTGTCTTTGAACAATTTTGGCAAATACCTTAGCATCAGTGGTCTTTTTACAGTCTAGCATGAAAGTATGGTCACATTTAAGATTGTTCTGCGAATTTTCCTGGGCGAAAGGTTTTGGTTTAGGTGGTGTTATAAAGCCACAATTGGGTTCTCAGACCTTTTTAAAGCACTGGTCATTATATCCAGGTCAGGTTTTTACTTTTTTTCAGAATTCTACATAAAGTCTTAGGATGCTCAAACAAATCCATACACTTGTACCCTTTCCATAAAATCATGTCGTCGTCATTAAACATAAAAAATGTCCATTGCATAGAAAATAAACACTTATAAAGAGCGCAGTCGTGTGATTAAAATGTCTCAGTCCTGAGGGTTCAGGAACACCTTTTTGGGTTGATCACCAACAACATTGCAGTTGACGTCCTCTTCACTCTTAGTAACTGTGGAGCGATTTCTTTTCTTGGCAAACTTTTTCCTCATGCTCTCAACCAAGCTTTCATATCTGAAGGAAAAGCAAATAACAGTCAACGTCTTTCGTTCCTGTACAATGCCATCACTTTGACATCACTTCCTCTCACCGTCTGGCCATCTCTTCATCTGTAATATCAGTTTCCATTCTGCTCACATCGTCCTCCTCTTCGTCCTCCTCTTCCTCTTTGTGTGTGTTCATTAGTAACATTAATTTCTACAAGAGATTCAGTTTGGTGGTAAATATGTTCAGTGCTCAAGCTTACAGAAATCATAACATTTATTTGATATTAATAATCACATAAAATGAGCAAATACTTCAGATTCCAGGTCGCAGATCAAACTGTTCAAAATGAACACCATATTTATAAGCAAGCATATAAATAAAATGAGTGTTTAAAATTCTTCTGGCTTAACTCCAATTCACATTTTCAAATCATGCTTAATTTAGAAAAATGCCAAATGGAAGCAAAGTTTACCTCGACTTCAGGATTGAAGCCTCTGAATGACATTCTGCCATAAACCAAATCCTCACAGGGAACGCAACTGCTCTCCTCAATTATATAGTTTCTAATCAAATTAAAAACACCTAGTTATTTTTTTAATAAATAATGCATGACAAGACGGCATTAACACATCAAATATGTAGGATTATAGGGTATGTGGTTACTTAGAGGTCACATATAATAACGTCACTGCATTACAAACAAATAAATAAAAGAGTCGTCTGCAATCGGTTTCTCTTCAAGCCAATGATTCTTAATTAGTTGATGTTTTGGTGATTTTTAGTGGATATAACTAAAAACCGCAAAACATTAAAGAATTATACTTTTATTTTAAACATACTTTGCAAATTTCTTTTTGTAAAACGCTGTCTTAATATTTATGGAAGCAGATTTCCACCATACAAGGTAAAACAATCATGCACCGGTAAATCAAAATTACAGCAAAAGTTAACCATAACACAAAAAGTCCAAATTATGACATACTAATCCACAATTATGAGATAGTCTGACATGTCTCATAATTGACAAAATGTTAAAAACAAAGAGGTTTTTTTGTCAGTTTTGGCTT